GCCGGCTGTGGTGGGCCGCGCACGGGGGGTGTCAGCCAGCGTGTTACAGGTTAGAGTTGAACAGCGTCTCCCAGTAGCTAGCAAATCTCTCTTTATGCTTTCCTACCGTGTTTAATTTCTGGAAGAGGGTTATTGCTGGGGCTGGAGGGACTTTCTTGCCCTCTGCACGAGCAAGGTCTCTGGTTTCGCTGGATGTTCTCTCTGTTTTCAAGTTAGAGAAGAAACCTGAACGGGTTACCCGTGGGGTGGGCACCCAGCGGAGCCTGTCCCTGCTTAGGGCATGTGTGGTGCCTTCTTGTGTTTTTCCTGTTTCGAAGTTCAGCTGCTTTGCATATTGGGGGTGTGTGTGTGAAAAGTCAGAAAACATGTACCTGTACTTGGAAGCTTTTCTTTAGTGGTGAGAATAAAGTACTTTTCTGCATTTGTTAAACTTGAAAGGTGAATGTGGTGTAAGAACACTGGGTGTATCTATGTAGTCTCGGAGATTTATGAGTCTCTCCTAGAGCCAAGGGAAACCAGAGCTGTTTACTGCGTGATCTCTTCTCTCTGTGGTCACAGGTGTCTTTCCATGGCACTCCCCGCTCTTCACCTATAGGTAGGGTTTTAAGATGTAGCCTTCATGCAGCCAAAGTTAAGGGTTTTTTTTTCTGTGGAATTAGGTTTGAAGCTTCCCCCTCCTTAGCATTTTGTTTACAGAAATGCCCAATGAAGTGTAGCCGTTGCTTTTAGAGCTTGGTGGGAAGCTCCTACCAGCTAATCAAACCCCAGTCTGGGATCTCAAAGGCTGTAATCATGCCACGGTGCCAGCTTTCATCATGGGCAAAGGGGAAAGGCCTCCTCTAATCCTTTCTCCTGCAGGGATCCCTTTGCTGATAGCTGCCAGGGATTTGGCTTCTTTACCTGCTCTTGCTTCTGGTAAAGAGGTGGCTGCCCAATTAGTTCCCCAGCTGGCAACTCCCCTCTGCCACTCAGAGGTGTGGCCCAAACGTGAGACAGGCTGGCAGTAGCGCCCAAATCCTGCCTTGCTCAGATGCCATTACGGTGCTGAGCAGGTCTGTTATTGTATCTACCTTGTTCTCGCTATTTGTATGTCCAGAGCATCCCCCGTGTGTTGGCATTGCCCTCGGGGAGTTACCCAGCTTTCTGTGAATCACAATTGGAATTATACCTGCTGCGAGGTAGAAGGGGAGACGTGACAAAGGGTTGGGGGCCACACTCTATCCAGCGTTCACCTCCCTTCTGAAAGAGGGCAAACCATGCTGTTTAAAACCAGCCAAGGTGTTCACATTCTGTCTTAAGCTTGCCTTCTTTGAGATAGTTTTCTTGTGACTCTAACCGTGGGCTGGCGTATGCCTCGGGGTAGAGAGCAGCTCCAAGGCAACAGAACCGACTTCTGAAAGCAAAATAAAACGGGGTTCTTGGTTGGGAGGTGGTATCGCCACCCTTTGGCCCTGGTGTAAACCCTCCTGACGATGCAGGTTCCGGGCTGAGGTTCAGAGGTCAGCATGAAATCATCGGGAAGAAGGGGACAGGGCAGAAGGCACAGCCCGCGCAAGGAGAGCGACAGTCTAATAGAGACTGTTGTGGGATCCCAGCTGTGCTTGCTGTGCAGCTGGTTTCTCTCTGAGGGGAGGTGTAACAGCCTCTGGGCTTTGAAGCTGCACAGCCAGTTGTCTCATCCATCAACCTGAAATGCTAAATAGTGGCTCTAGATGCATGGCGAGCAGAAGGGAACTTTGCAGAAGCCTTTCTTATTTGGCTGTGTGTAGCTAAGGTTGGTTGGTGCCTTTTTGTACTTCTGCACTGGGCTCTGTATTCAGTGAGACTCTACTGTGCAAAGAGAAATACTTCCTGGGGACAAGTGGAAAAAACTCTTCTTTGGGGTTTCTCTTTTTTTTTTTTCCTCAATACTTTGAGACCCTGATCAGAAAGAACAGAAACTTTGCTGCGCTTCAGAGTGTAAGATCCCATTTAGTGGTTGCTTTTTCTTTCAGCCTTCCATCTGTTCAGCTTGCCTCTGAGCTGACTGCCTTCTCCTTGAATTAAGACCACACTGTCATCCTTTGTATACAAAATAAAACAACCCTGGGCATCCATATTAGCCAGTCAGAGGACCTTATTTCTGAATGAGAGGCCAGGAGGTATTTATGGTCTGGTATGACCTCACCTAGCTCTTGTTAAGCCCTTCACCATTAAATTGTAGGATCTTGGGTTTATTCTCAGGACTACAGCAGTGGTGGTGTCCCACATCTGAAGCGCTCTCTCCAGCTTTTGAGGTTCTTCTGTTTGCTGGCATGGAAAAGCGTTGCCGTTTTCCCACTGGAATAATCTCTGTGGTTATCAAGGTGCACCGGGCAAAGTCTTGCATGTTGACAAGTTACTTACGTGTGCGTATTGAAGTGTTGTAGCATGAATCACTTGTCCTGAGGGTTCTCTGGGAATGGCCTTCTGTCATGCATGTGGCTTGTTTCAGTCAGACTAATGCTAAAATGCAGGCGGTGTCAGGTTCTTAAATCTTTTTTTTTATGTTTTTGTGAGAGGTCTCGCTCCAGGCAGCTGTGTGGGGTTTGGTGTGCCTGCTCTGGAAGTGGAACAGCCTGGATGAAGGGTGAGATGTGGACCTGTAATCACCGAAAGAGATGTTTTTCAGCTGATGCTAAAGTCCCAGACTGTGCTTGTGGCTCTTCATTAATCGACAGCATCTCTATTGTCTGTGTAACGTGATTATTGTCTTATATAGCGCTCATCTGAGGGTGGGTTGGAACTGCTGAATCGCTTCTTTTTGGAGCGAGGAGAAGTGGGTTCTGCTGTCAGAGGCAAAGCTGGCTGTCACACCCCTGTCTGTGGGTGTTAGCTGTTCTCCTAAAGCATGACAATGTCAGCAGAAAGTGATAGAGTGAGCTGAGGGGATGCTTCTAGTACTAAAAATACAGAAAGGAGGTGTGTGGGTTGTTCTGTTTCTTTTCTAAATGAGCATTTTAGCCAGGACTCTGTCTCGGGCTTGACCTGAGGTAATGTGAGTTATCTGACATTCAGATTTGCTTGTCAGCTGTCACCATGTGATCACCAGGAAATACACTGCTGAACTGCAGAGACTTTTTCCATTGGGTAGTAGGAGGTAAAAATAAACACAAACCCCCAAACCCTCTCTTCCCTTTTGAAATTGATATAATGCATGATAGTAGCATCTTAAGTTTTGCGTTCCTCAAGTGTGATTATGTGTGTGTAAAGGCTTAAAGGCTGGTCACAGAGGTTGTTTTTCTCAGTGTGTATATGTGGAGTTGCAACACCAAATCCCAGACTAAGAGGGAGGAAATAAATCAGCTTAGTCTGTGGAGTTCTCGGAGCAATGCTGGTTTATGCTGGCCAGTGTTAACTGTGAAGCTTATCCTAGGGAAAGCATTTGTGGCGTTGTCTTGCGTGGCCGTGCGAAGAGATCTGTAGATCTCCCCAGCTACGCCAAGGAGAGCTTGGTGGCATCTGTGGCCTCTCAAAACTCGGGTCCCTCCCTGCCTGGAAGAGTGGGGTTTGTATGTCCTGCACAGGCCCTCACTGCTGAGCTCGGCCCCCCTGGTCCTAGTCCCTGGCAGGAGATGCATCCTGTGTATGTACGTGGAGAAAAGGCTGAAATTCCTGGTGTTCCCTGAAAGCAGTGGAGCTGCTGCTGCTTTCTCTGATGGAAAGAGCAGTGGGTTTGGGAATGACTGTGTTCAGCTGCTAGCCAACTGCTTGCCTGGGGCTTCTCAGCATCTCCCCGTGTGTGTGGGATTAAATGTTCTCTTGTCAAGCAGATGTGAGGCACTGGAGAGGGTAAGAGCTGGTGAAAGGGAGGGGTAGAGGAAATGACTCTGTGGAGAAGGCCAGAAATAAGTCTATGTCCTTGGGAAAAGGGAAAGCGTGTCCTGAAGTGATAGGGTCTGGGGCAGTAGGAGATCCTTCCAAGGAGCACGTGGAGGGGAGGGGATTGGTGAGCGTGGAAAAGGCGCTGAAGGTTGTTGTAGCTCTGTTTTAGCTGCAGAGGCCGGAGGAATGGAGGAGTGTGGCACTTGTGATATAATAGCTGCTTGTGACAGGCCTGATCCTGTCCCTGGGGTTGTGCTGGTGTGTCTGGGAGGGCTGCTCTCCGTGTTTCTGGAGAAGGGGACCCTCCTCAGCTGAAAGGCCTGGAACAAGCCACGGTCCAAGCGATCCCAGTGGTGACAAGTCTGGGCAGGTGACATATGTGTTGTCCTTGGTGCCTGGAGTATGTGAGCTGTGGTAGTATTAGTAGAACCTAGGGCTTTGTGCTACCCTCTGGCACTTGCCCAAACCCTTTCTGGTGCAGGTGAAGGCCAAATCTACACCGATGGCTTCTGTCTGACAAGTCCTCTGGTATCGGCAAGGTTCATGAAGTGTCCTCTGCAGCTACTTCCCAGGCTTTTGGCTCTGCAGTGCCTGGAGGATTTCCTCTTCATACGCTGCAGTTCATGCAGATGGATGCTGGTTTGGGAAAACTTTTGGGCTGGGATTTAAAGGCTTGAGTATCATATTCGCGTTGGAGGCTCTGGCAGCGTCTCTGAGCTGCCACTCCTGTGGATTATTGAGCTGAGCATCTTGAAGTAGAGGCGATGGCATCTGAGGGTGTGAAAGACTCAGGGAGCCCTTTACACACGTTGATTACAAGAGCTGCT